ATCGTCCGCGTAGCTGTGGCAAACGAGCCTGCGAGACATCGGCAAACGGAGGGGCGGCAGATCGCTTAGAAAGCAGCGGCGGATGGGAAACACCACGAAACCGGAAAAAGGCAGGAGAAGTGTCTCGCTACGAGGAAAGATGCGGGGAGCCAGGAATCGATGGGAGAGTCCCAATTGAGTTCAAGCTCTGCCCGATCCCGTGTCGGCCGAAAGCATGGTCTCCATTCACCGCCAAGCATCGGGGCTATCAGATCTTGTTGGGGAGCAGAGTTTACTGTTCTTAACGAGATCCGTCAATTCGAGGGACCATTTCAAGATTCTGCCGTGATCTCTACGGAGACCTAATCGCCAAAGGGAGTGAACGCGATCTTGGATCATCGATCGATACTCATTATCGGCTCGTACGTTTTCCTCGATGATATCCCCCTTGAAGCAATCGGGAGCAAGTCCCTGGATTGATTCATTCGCGGCTGATTCGCGAAAACTGCAGCTCACTCGTTGTCTCATTGCTTGAAAGCTCCCTCCTGTGCGCCGCGGCGGGCTCTTGCGAAGAAAACCGACGGGGTGGCGAATGGCTCTAAACCTCGAAATCTAATGCCATTGTCGCCGCCCTGAATCGCTGCTGTCTCCTGCGACGGCCATTTCTTTTGAGGCGTCGAGAACTTCAATCGAACCTCGGAGTCGACGGGAGCAAATTTTGTTAGCCTTAAAAGCACCTCCGCTGTTCGCTCGACTTCTCGATTTGTGGACGAAATGAGGAAGCGCCTGCCTCTCCTGTTGGCCCTCTTGGCGGTTTTGGTCCATCCTAGGCTCTTCGAGATCAGCTCGTCCGAATCTTCACTGTGGAATGTTCTCATATCGCAAATCAGCAGAGATCATGAAAGAGAGATTCCTGCACGCCTCGTGCACTGAGATGAAACGGATTCGAGCATCGCGACCAACTCCGCAATTATCGACTCCGCGATGAGATCTACTGAGGCAACTCGGTGAGACGAAGGATTTCCCTCGAATATAGATCCCATGTCGTTACGGAGTTCACCGAACCAGAGAAATATCATCGGCCATTCGAGAAAGAGCAAAAGAAGCCAACGCAGGCGGAACCGAAGGACGTATCTGAGGGAGGCGTTTCACGGCAGACGTGTTGAATTACAATGACCGACCGATTCACTCAGGCGCTGGAGATCATCTTTCGTCATTCGGCCGGCATCGGAGTCACGTTGTATCTGCCGCAGGTATCAACGAGCTCGTGTCGAGCCGAAACCGCGACACCCGTGGATCTCGAGACGTCGATTCGTCGAAAAAGCCCTGAATGAATGAGTGCGCATTCTTCGAAATTTTGACCCGAGAGAATTTCAAGCTGATGCGGCTCAACCCGGGAAATGATGGCCAAGTCATGGAGCGATGTCGAAATTCTGCTCTCTATCGTCTATTGCGTTGGAGAGCCCTCGGCGAAATTATCGCGGAAGCTCGTGTCTACACGCGATCCGGAGCCCTGGGTCGCAGGGCCCGATCCGGAAGGACGCGTTCTCCGGGACGCTGAATGAGGCGGGCGACAATCGATTATTCGAAGGTTCACCGGGAGCTATCTCGACTTCGATTGGTTCAACCTCAGTCAGCACGTTTGTTTCCGAAGCTCCTCTCGAGTCTGACGGACCATTTTTTTTCGCTCCCCAGATTCAGACCGGGTAAGCGAGCGACCGAGTATCAGGTGAGCGGACGCGTTCGATCGAGTAGGAGTGAACGTAGCCAGCTATCACTCCCCCAGAGATTAAAACAAAAGCTTTCGAAGTTCCGTGCTCGTCCCTGGGGCACGAGTGGTCATTGCGATGTCCGCGGCTCCTGTCCGGGTCACAGTTCCCCGTCAACTTGTTACGTATGGCTGAATACGGTACACGAGCTCCAGAGAGAACAAACGACCTACAAGGCCGATTAATAAATGTGGTTCAGCAGCGAGTACATTCTCTCTAGTTGATTTAGAAGTATTCAAAAGCTCATCTGTCTTCAAACGGCCGTGTTTAGGATGCACGCAAATCCTACGGCGGGTTCGAGCTTAAAATGGCTCTGGGCATGGATGATAATAATCGCAATGAGCACGTCACGGACAAATCGCTCGAGACGGACCGACTGCGGATGATGAGACGCTCCCGATGACTCCTGATCATGACGTAATCGTCACGGGCGGTCACTTGCATATCACAAGAAGAGTTCTCCGCAGACATCGGACGCGAACCTCGAGCGCGCATGTGCCGCCGACACCTCATGTCGAAATTACTTGCCGAGCACGCTCGATTTTTGATCACGGGAGACGCCGCTAGATAAGCGCAAATGAGCGATGGATCCTATCAAAGACTCCTCTACGCGGGCCTTCAGTAAACATCATTATCATAACGCAGAGTTTATTACGGCCACAGTAGTCGACCAACGAAGAAATCGAATGAGATCGGATTTGATTTTTTTCTGCATACAACAGATCTTTTGGCTCATGTACATACGTCCACGTATTCATATCACAGGCTCCCACAAAACTGTCTCCATGGACTCTTCGCGAGTAACTGCCTCCGCAGAATACAAACACGAGTTTCGCAGACGAAAGAGACACACATGCACGCTCAAAGGGAGTTTCGAGTCGAAATTTTCATTTGGCGTGCGTTCGTGTAGTTCAGGGAATGCACGGCAATGTTTGTGCTTCGGAGACTTATCGCCCGATTAGCTAACATTAGGAGCCGCTGCTGCCGCGTCTGTCGCCGGCGCTGCGGCAGCCCATGATGATAAAAGCTTCTGCAAGCCGTTCGGCAGCGGCAGCAGCAGCAGTCTCGTTAACTCGTGCCCGAGGTGTCTTCCATGAAAATGTGATTGAATTCGCTCGAGCGTTCGACCGCGAATCAGGCCTGTCCTGGCCGAGCGTAGTTCAGCTTGGGAGAATTTGTCCTTTTGGGCGCACTGCCGCTTGAATGCAAGGATTCGAGTCTCCAGCTTTGTCAGCGCAGTTAGAAAACAGCAACAATCGATAGACCTGTTCCGATCCCTGCGGGCACATCTCGAGATTATTAGAAAATCCGTCCGTTGGCTCCCACGTTCGGTAGAGGCTCTCGCGAACATCATTATCACGAGAGACTGTGTTTCCCACCTCCACCTGATTCTTTTATCTTTTCTTTCCATCGGACTCGGTCCTGCGTCCCGCTTCAAAACTTCCTGCGCCAGAACTTTCTCGTTTTTTATCCGCTTAATCTGCGTCGATGCGCGGGTCGTACCATGTAGATTCGCGAATTAACTCCAGGCAGTCGATTCCTGACCATCGACAAGCTACCCGGCTGCCTATCTACCTATTGTGGTCATCCGTGTAGAATCCATGCAGCTCGGGCGGCCGTCGTTGTGCCTGAGAACTCGATTTCGCGGGATTCGTCATCGGAAGTTTCCGAAAGAAACCGAAGTTTCCTTCCCTGCCCCTCGTTTCCCTCTTCCTCAGATTTCTCCGATGCGAATTCGCGAAGGACGCGATGATTACTGCCAAACTCTACGTGAGGGAAATTCCGCGGCGTTCTCTGTCCCTCGGACGGGTCCTCTGCAGAGCTCGAGGTAGATAGTGGACGACTTGCTGCCGGGAAAGTAATTAGAAGAGAATTTGAACTTGAACTGAAAATTGGAGACTACTGCGGATAAGAAAGTCCCGAGAACGAGGCGGACAAATCCCGCCAAGTTCCCAGCAAAGAAGTCTCTTAAATATTCTCGGAGGATTTAGAGAATATACACCGCCGATGGCAGTACCGGCAGAATACGAGCAGGAGGGGAAAAAACTGGAGGAGATCGCAGGCCGATGAGAACAGTGCGGGAGCTCGAGAAGTGAGCGCAAAATTAGCGGGATTACCGCTCACTATCACGATTGTGACCCTTGTGCGATGGCCTCGGAAGTTCCCTTCCCATATTGTCGCTCCTTCCCGTCTTCCTTCTGTCGGAATGCGGCCGAGAGCCAGCGCATAAGATACCAGCTGGGTTTGAATCTTGCAGCAATCATCGCTACTCGGGATCTCCCAAGCCGTCCAGCGAGTGTGCGTGGAGAATAGAGGGACACAATCGCCTGAGGGGACAGACTTGCGCTCTTATTAGGTATTTATGATTCACTCACTCATTCATTCTGTTCGTTCGCTTCTTCGTTCGTTTATCCCGGCATTGCTTTGTATTCGATGGAGGGCGAAAGAGCCCGAGAAGAGCTCGAAATTCTTCTCATTGTTGTAGTAAGTAATATAGGAACTCGACCGGGGCTTCCGGGGGGATGGGCAAGTGGCGACCGCGGTAGAAGCAATGTAAGGAAGATGAGCGCCGTCGGCTCGTTGGTTCGCTCTTTTCGGGTGGGGTAGAGGTTCGTCCTTTGTGAGTGCGGCACAAAGAAGTTGAACTTTGCGTAGACTTCAAACAACAAACGAGGACTCCAAAAAACTGAAACTTACTTCAGATATGCACGACCGCCACCGACAACTCCGAAAGTTTTAGTGCACGCTCGATTCTCATCCGGTGTCTGCGTCCGAACGTGAACTCACTTGTTGGCTGAGTAAACCTTCCTCCGGGAGGTGCAGCAAGTAGCGACGCTTCGAGCGATAAAACTCAACATGATTTTGCGAATCTCGATTGATATGAATACTTCTCGCCATGGTCTGTCGTGAATAATTATATCACGGACTCATCTACGCATCCAGGAGAATTCAAGCAGTGCCGAGAATTTGGACACCCGTCAGGACGGATAACCCAATCTCCGCGGGAGAGAAATTCGGAGTAGAGAAATTCGGCAAGCCGCATGAGAATTTGTTCCCGCTCGTCAGTCAGAGTTCCAGGAGTTCACGAATGCTTCCCCGATGCGGATTCTCTCGAATGTCGAAAACATCAGAAAGTGTCCCCAAATCTAGCTGAGGCGATGTCTTGATTCGGTCGCGTTCCTACCGACTCGATCATGCATCCATCACGTCATTTGGAAAACATCAGCCGAACATGCAAGCGAGGGTACTGACCAGCGCCAGGAAGTCCTCGGAGGGTATCGTTATCCTTTGACGTCGTTAATCCGTCGATGAGAATGGATGACACTTACAACCGACCAAGATAGTCCACAGAACAGTTTCTCGATATGAATCGCTCGATCGATCAACCACCGGTATTTTTGCTCATATAGTCATCACGGAACAATCGGCTCCGATTTCTTCCTTTCCTAGCCGGCGCTTGTCACGCACATGACATGCACTTTCACTTCAGAACATTACTTCCAGGGAAGGCGATAGATCCTGTTCGGAAGTGTAGCGCGTCACAGCGTAATTCTTCTCACAGATTCGGAACTTCTCCCTAGCTATGCACCGTTTCAAGCCAGCACAGGTTTCAGCACAGATTCCACACCGCGTGGGCACTCCAGCTGTCTGCGAATCCCACTCTGGGCTCAGGAGTCGGCAAGAGATTGTACTCTAGGGGAGAGTGCAATCCAGCGGTGGAGGGTCACACAGGAGAGGGACAACTCGAAGCCTCTAGTCGTCGTTGTGCCGCCGCCGCAGCCTCTCTTGGTCAGGGTGGTCGGGGTGGTGAGCAACGCGACACAACGCAAGTACAGCTGGTCAGAAACGCACCGGATCTTCGGGGGAAAAAAGTCTGTCGCGGGGGAGGTCAAGCGAGGGTGCGAGGCGGGCTGCGACACAGAGCTCACCGGCTACCAACCGCAGTTCTCGTGCTGTAAACAAATATCCTGACAAATCTTGGCAAAATAGCCCGGAGCAGATCCACCTCACATCTCTCCCCGCCAGGCGGTAATTCGCCGAGCCGACCGATTCCGAAGCAGAACCTGGAGATTGATGCTCGGTAGATCATCAGTACAAGGCGACGGGTGGTCGAATGAAACGCGATCTAGCGCGCCTTGCACTTCTCGGTCAAACGTGCGCCTCACTCACTCGTTGACTTTAGTACGTGGGACAACGCTCTCGCTCCGTGAGCTTTCCGCTCTCCTTCACCATTTTTTCCAGAAAAAGGGGTTGCCGAGCAGCTCGCTCGACCATTCTCAGCCGAGTTATCGAGCTGATATTGGGGGTTCCGCATCCTTCGAAATCTGGCCACGTCGACGCAAGCCTTACGATCCCGATTCCAGATCGAGCTTAATCAATGATGGGACAGAGGACCAAGCCGATGCTCGGTCGAGTTTACGATCGGTTTCGGGCGCCGAGCGTATGCGTAAAGGTGAGTACCGAGCTGATGGTTCGACAAACAGGCGCATGGTCGGACGCAGAGGTTCACGCGCAGGCCCACGGAGAGACGCTCGATGCACAGCCGACAGGTCAGTCAAATTCAGGCTCACATCCATATGCGCCCCGTTCCGATCAATAGCGATTCCTAGGATTACCAACCAGCGGTCCAACAGACACCGTATCCCGGTCTTCGCCCGGTCATTTGGGTTCCGAACAGATTCTCGAATGTATAGCTTCTCTGAGCTCTCAACTCTAATCCATCACTCCGATTCGAGATGAGCGCGACAGATATTCGTAGTAAGATCATTGAGAGCGCATCGACCGCGTTTCCGGAATGATCGAATCGGCAATTTATTATTTCATGAGCTTCGTAGAAGCCACGAGAGTTTAGGAGGATGAGGCGTTTTGATTTCCTCATCAAATCGCAGCAGCGAGACATACTTTATTTCGGGTACAACGCTCGTTGAACGAGGTCACTCTATTTCCAGATCAATGGAGAACCCGTGAGCTAGTTGATTCACGAATACTCCAACGCGCCGCTCGCGTTCCGTTGACTGCCTGCTCAACTCGGCTGAGAACTGTGTCATGTGTACGAGGGCTCTGTCAAACCGTGGGGAAGACGATCGGTGCTCTGTCGGGTGATGCCCATGCTCATCCACCAGAATCCTTCCGTTCTTCTCGAGTGTCACTTGCGTGCACGCTATTCCGGCTCTGCGAACCTTGTCGCGGTTCCACAGCTAACACAATTGCGATGAATTAGCTCGCTCGGAGAAATGATTCAAACATCGCAGAAACGAAATTTTAGAGTTCATTAGTTTTGACGAGATGTATTCCTGCATGTTGCGATGGAAGCTTCCCACGAATTGAGTCTCCTCTGGAATCCGATTGTAATAATTACTTTCTGTGATGAGTAACTCCCTCGATCGGCGAGACTGGCAATCGCAGAACACTGGTCTGACGTAGATATCCGTACGGTAGTAGGGAATACGTAGTGTGCGTTAGACAGAAGGAGGAACGAATTGAAATGGAGCTCAGAGACTTTGGAAGGAGACACGGAGTTAGTGTCACGCGGATTTTACGCTCCGTAAGTTCTGAAGGAAACACCTGCAATGACGACTGGCGCGGGCAGTCAGTGTAGGAGAAGCTCCTACCGGATTGTTACTGGAAGCTTCTCGTTCTCCGTGACGGTCCGAGGGATCTTCTCCCCGAGTGCCCAAGCGAATCCTGGAGGACTTGATCGCGCGCGGAGAATCGACCTTCCGTGTGCCAGACTACGCCCACCTTAAGCTGCTGCTCAGCATTCTCTCGTTTGCGTTGGAGACGCTGGCTCGTTTTACATCGACCGAACCTTGCGCCATTCCATTTGCATGGCCCGTAGAGAGACTCCGGAAGTCGAATCGGATCAGAGTACGGAGACCAGCATGCTTGACGCGCCGTCGCCGCCGCTCTGGAGTCCCACGCATATTCTGCGGTCAGTTGACCGAGTCGGAATCATCGCCGACGCACGATTTTTTATTGTTGACGATGATGAAGAGTTTCCATTACGAATGAGTGAGTCTAGAAAGCGGACGAAATCATTCACCTCGAGTCTCGGACCGTGCCGTACGCGGGGGATTCTCGGCTGAGTGCACGGAGCTTCGGCTGCCATTGCTACGTCTGTTTCGGTTGTTTAAAATGTTCCGTGTCGCTCTCGTCCCGGCCGTTCTCCCTCGTGGTGGTCGCCGTCGTCGTCGTCTCCGAAACTCTTCATAAGTTTCTTAATTACGACTCGGTCGGAATGATTCTTCCATTAAAGCTAACGGCAGCACATCCTCGGGGGGAGAGGGACGAGCTGTCGGAACAGAAAACAAGAAATGTAAGAAGACGAACGCGTTTGTTCGACCGACCGCTCGGACGGAGAGCTCCCGCCTCCCGCCTCGAGATCCCACAGACGCCGCTCATGCACAGACACGAAGGAAACTTGAGCAACATTTTCCAATACGACCGAACCGCGGGCGGAGCAGCTGCGATCGATCCAGATATCCCGCGAGTTCACCCTTTCAAGTTGAGCTCTTCACACGTTCTTCTGCTCTCCGAAGCCGCATTTTGAGCTTCCTGAGCCTCATGAGCTCACCTGAAAATTTATCGTCTGCTCCTTTGAGGAGGCTATTGAGTCGAGGTCGTTATTGCAACACGAACCGCGGTCGCATGCTCGAATCTGGATGACGCACTCATCGAGGCTCGTATCGATGTCAATCCGGTGATTGTGTTTTCAGTATATGAGTGAGTTGGCCCACCGTATTCTCCCGATCTCAATGGATCAGAGAAACGGAACAACCCGGAACATAATTCTCTCGTATGATTGTACGTCACCGACGCGACGTCGAAAACCATGACGCTACTCCGATGGCTCCGGAGCTTCCCCGCAGCTGCCAATGGCGCACTGTACACGAGGACTTCCCGCGCAGATGAGGAAAATCGTCTGGTCTGAAATATTCGGGGAGTGGGAGGTAAGCTATCGAGCCAAACAGTTTCCAGCTTTCCCCGATGAGCCTTGCTCTGAAAGAAATTCACTGCTCTATTCGGTGCTTTGTTTGGGCCTTCCGGAGATCACATAAAGTACAGAGATGATCTGAAGCAAATAACTCCTCTCTGCAGACTTCCGAGCTCCGCCCGCTATCGAGGGCTCGAGCGAGGAACGCAGCCACGAATCGTCCGAACTTGCGAACTTCAGAGCTATGCATCGCTGGATGGCATCCACTGAGATCATGCAATCGTCAACGACGACTGAAGCACGAATTGAAAAGCCGTCAATACGCGTACTATCATGACTGACTTGGAGAACCCAATACTTGCGATTTGCGACGTGAGCGGAGCTCGAGCCAGCTCACCTGACTCTCGAGGAGATAAAGAACAGTTCTGGAGATGGAGTGCTTGTGAATAACACCGCGCAACCTTCCAGCGACTAACGAACTCTTCACTAAAGGCGTATAATCACTGCCTCTAGTAGGCGTTCGTTAGGAGAACAACGACGGCCCCGTTCACGCCTCGCATGCTGGCTCTCTTCCGCGCATGCTATGTCGCTGCTGTCCGTTATAGTATAATCTTGTCTCGGGAAGTTCCCGGCTCTCTGTGCGCGTGTCGGCGCTGCTTGACGCTTGTCTTCGAAAACTTTGACAAAGGTCACTCGGCCTCTCGTTATTAAGTTGTTTCGCGACTCCCTTCATCAAAACGTAACGTTCCTTCTTGTATCGGTAGGTCAGGTATCCTCCGCGGTCGCGATCTTCGCTGTCCCGGCTTCTCGTTGCGTGCAGCTACCGAAAAATGACGACGTGAGCGGAGTCTCCGTCGAGGGTCACATGTTCCCGGAAGCGCTCGTTTTGAAGGACGAATAGAACCTGTGGCCCCAATGCCGACGACTAATAGCTCTTGGAGATCTTGTTTTTGTTATTCGAGGCCGCACCTGTCATACCGAGAAGACATTCACCGTTTCCTCTCATTCTTGGCGTTCGAAACGGCTCCGGCTTGAGCGATCGCTGATTCTTCCGTTCTCGGTTCTTAATCCGTTCTTGTTTGTTTCTCTCTCTCTCCCTGTTTCCCTTGTGGCTTTTGCTCTGTGTTCCAAGCGAGCTCATAATCTGCTCGTGTCGCTGTTACCGCCAATCCAAGCAGTTCTTCACCCGTTCTTAGCCGGTCCGACATCTGGCAAAACATTGCTCCCATAAGGAAAGCGACTACAGAGCAGGCGGAGAAAGCTGGAGATTGAGAGAAGAACGAAAGATTTACGCACACACGGCGAGCAACGGTGCCGCCTCCAGCTGCAAATCACTCGCTAGTCGGTCCGTATGAATTCATATGCCCATGACGGTTGAGGACTTA